TGTATTATAACCTTTAATGTTTTACTTTACTGAGTTCTTTTGATCTTATTGTCCACATTCTCTCCACAGTTCTCATATCCAAGATGTATCTGAACAAACGTATAAAGCTTCTTGCTCTTTTTGTCTCTTATAATGTGTCCCCAAGCATGTTGCCATCCCAACCATCTTAAATAGAGAAGGTTGTGTGTCAAGAGCTTACTATAGCCAGACATGGTTCCATGGTTCCAAGTTCTCTGTCTGTCTGACTGTCTATCTCTGTCTTTCTGTCTCTCTGTCTTTCTCTCTGTGTCTATCTCTGTCTCTCTGTCCCTGTGCATGTCTATCTATCTCTGTGTCTTTCTGTCTCTCTCTATGTGTCTGTCTCTGTCTGTCTATCTCTGTCTCTGTGTGTGTGTCTGTCTGTATGTATGTCTCTGTCTCTCTGTCCCTGTGTGTGTCTATCTCTGTCTCTCTCTGTGTCTCTGTTTATCTGTCTCTCTCTGTGTCTGTCTGTTCTGTCTCTGTCTCTCTGTGTATACATGCACCATCTTAATAATCCCCTTAAAGAGAGCTGATGCTCTCTTGATGGTTTGATTGTGAGCCTAACCTTTAATAGCTGAACATCTCTCCAGCTCAAAAATTGATATTTTCACCTCATTTTTAAATGAAGAAAGTAATCCTGACCTCAAATGACTTGCTGAGAGGATCAGGCAAGTAAGGTTTCTGTCTCATGTCTGCTTTCCTGTATCTGTGCCTCCTAAACAATGACTTCCCTGACCTCACTTCCCATCAGTTTTCAGTTCTATTTCTGACCCTATCACCCTACTTATACTCTTCTCACTAAGGTCATCAAATAACCTCCTAATTTTCAGATTTAAATGGGCTTGAGGTGACCCACTTTACTGACCTTGCTCTGTATTTCAATTACAAACTTCCTTTTTTCAAAGTCTCTTGTCTATAGACACGAAAAATTTTTAGACTTTTTCATAAACATTTAAATCTCTTCTATCTAATTTTTAGTTAAGTTTTTTTACTCAATTATTTATTTAATTTTCAAAAGCATATTTGCTTTTTACGCACACTTTATTTATTGATTTTTTAAGTATGTTTTCACTTAACCATTTCACTTTGTAGTGGTTAAAAAGAAAATAGCCGGGCGGTGGTGGCGCACGCCTTTAATCCCAGCACTCGGGAGGCAGAGCCAGGCAGATCTCTGTGAGTTTGAGGCCAGCCTGGACTACCAAGTGAGTTCCAGGAAAGGCGCAAAGCTACACAGAGAAACCCTGTCTCGAAAAACCAAAAAAAAAAAAAAAAAAAGAAAGAAAAAGAAAATAGCCACTAAAGTGAGTGGCACTATTAGGAGATGTGGCTTTGTTAGAGTAGGTGTGTGGCCTTGTTGGAAAAAGTGTGTCACTGTGGGCGTGGGCTTTGAGGTCCCCTATGCTCAAGCTACTCACAGTGTGACACTAAATTTACTTCCTGTTGCCTGTGATTCAAGATGTAGAACTCTCAGCCCCTTCTCCTGCATTATATCTGCCTGCATGCCGCCATATTCCACCATGATGATAATGGACGAAACCTCTGAAACTTTAAGCCACCCCAATTAAATGTGTTTCTTTATAAGAGTTACCATGGTCATGGTGCCTCTTCACAGCAATAGAAACCCTAACTAGAATTTGGTACCAGACAGAAATTGGTACCAGAGACTGGGATATTGCTATGATAGGCCTGACCATGTTTTTGTTTAGACTATTATGGACTTTGGTGCTTTGGATTAGGAGCATAGTGGAATGCTTTAAGCACTGCTAAAAAAAAAAAAAAAAGACAATGATGCTGAAAATCATTTGAACTATGTGGGGCTGGCTTAAGAGGTTTCAGAGGAGAAGAATTTTAGTATGTTGCCTAGAAATTGTTCTTATGATATTTTGGTGAAAAATGTGGCTGTATTTTGCCCTTTTCAAAAAAGTCTGCCTAAGACTAAAGTGAACAGTTTTGGATTAATTCCACTAGCAGAGGAAATTTCAAAAGAGCCTAGTATTGACTCTGTCAAATGGTTATTATGAGTGGTCACTCTTATGAAGATTTGTAATGAAAAGGAGTAAATTCAGAAAGTAAAAATACAAAATGTATAATTTGAGGAGAAAAGGAGCATGAGGAGCTAAGCTCTGTCTTCAAAAAGCTAAACAGATTAAGAAATGGAATAAATGGAGTAGTTACCTCAGAGCAAGATCCCACCCAGCTAAGTTTCCAACTTGTAAAAAGGAATTAAAGAAAATCTTAGAGCTGGGTGTGGTGGTGCATGCCTTTAATCTCAGCATGCCAGACATACTTCTAAAAACATATTTAGGATATACCAAACCACAAAATTTATGTTAGTATTTTCAGAATATACTAAGTCAATAGGGAGCAAAATGTTTAATACAAATGAAGTGAACATGAGCAACATCTTTATGGACTTTACAAACTGTTATGGGAGATAAGACATGTGTGAAACAGTAACAATGCATGCTGTACTTGGGCCATTTCAAAATTATGTGTTAAAGAACTATTAGAATTGTACAGGGAGGAGAGGGCACTCAAACAAATTTCATGGGTTAGTATCTGAGCAAGGACTTCAGAGATGAATAGAATGTGAATTTAATAATATTTGGGTTTTTTCTATACCTTAGTGAAGCCCACTTTCATACAAAGCACTTCTCTAAAGAAATTAACAAGAAATAAGCTTTAATTTCAAGTTATTTCCAATTTAATTAAGAAAAAAGAAAATCAATTATTAAAGGTTGAAAGAAATAGCAGTAGAGATTTTCTTAAATCTCCCATCAAAGAAAATCACAAAAACAGAGGAGTGCTAACTCATCTCTAGGAATTAGTCCAGCTACGGCTAAGCATCAATATCAAACAACATGGATGCGGGTTCTGGGAAGACATCATTCCAGAGAGCAACCAAGAGATCAGCAATGGATGAGTGGGCTGTTTGTGCTGAGTGGTAGTTCACAAGAGCTGAAGAAAAACAGTGCAATATGAAGCTAGATTAAGAGTCTAGAGTATGGAAAGGGAGTTGAAGTCATTCTTTAGGAATACTTCATTTCTGACTAACCAGTAATGCTAACTTACAGGGAGTTCCACATATGGATTCATTTTTCTTTATAAGAAAGACCAGAGATTTACTTCATTGACTACATTTCTAAATGAAAAAAAAATTAATGTTGCTAGTATCTAGCAACCCAGTCTTGGGATTTGTTGTCAAACTTTCACAAACTCCCACTACTATCTTAATTGCTGCTCCGGTCGTTTTTTGTTACTTTATGATTGTGAGTAACAGCTATCTTATTTTATGATCTATGTCATCACAGAAAATGAAACAGAAAAACAATATCAGTCTCCAAATTTCTTCATAAAAATGTTTCCTTTACATTTATTGTTATCATACTCCATATTCTTATCAAAGTGGCCACATTCAACTGTCTTCCCTGGCAACAGAAATCTATGACACTCCTTTTGCTTGTCTATCAATTTTTCTGAGGCAAGAAAGCAATATCCAAGTGTGTACTGCCTGTTGAAAACACCCTAAGTTACATTACTACAGTACTTTGTTACAGTACCTCACTGAGAATACATTTTTAAAAAGTAATATTTTAGGGGCCAGAGAGATGGCTCAGTGGTTAACAGCACTGGCTGCTCCTGCAGAGAACCTGAGTTCAATTCCCAACATTCACACAGTAGCTCCCAACATCTATAACTCCAGTTCCAGAAGATCCAATGCTCTCTCTTGCTTCCACAGGCAACAGGCATAGTACACAGACATATATTAAGAAAAAAAACACCAATATCCATAAAAAAATTTTAAAGAATGAAAGAGATGTATGTGAGAGAGAGAGAGAGAGAGAGAGAGAGAGAGAGAGAGAGAGAGAGAGAGAGAGAGAAAAGTTTTATATTTTAGATCTGAAATAGCAGTACTCCAGTGAGCATCTTCCATTACTAACAGGCAGTGGATTAAACTGGATGCTTGAAAGTAATAAAAATTACAGCATCATGAATTAGGGAAGGCTGCAGGAATAGACATGAGTGACAGCAAATGTGGAAGACCTACTCTACCATCTTGCTAAATCCTAATATCACAAAAGACCAATTCACAAACAAAAAAAATGTCCCTTAAGCTACTTTATAATGTTTATAAGTGTTTGGTTTATAGAACCTAAACGGGATGTCTTGGAACCAGCTCATTCTCCACTGCCAAACAGTGAGACCTCTCCCTGTAGCACCTTCAAAGTCAGCCTCTGTGTCCCTGGCCTTCTAGTCACACCTTGCATTTCAGAGGCACCTGGCATTTCAGTTATACTCAGTAGCCAGTCAACATCAGAATCTTCCCATGTCTTCCTTTAAATTCTCTTCCTATCTCTTTTGCCATCACAGAATGGGCTTCTCCTACCACACTACTGGCTCTCCACTTTAGAGGATGCTTCTGTCTTGCTGATAAATTTCAGAGTGGGATATTCTCTGTAGCTTTACTGAAGTCAGTTCTGTCTTAGCATATTCCAGAACCACACAGATAGCTACCTTCCTTAAGATACATGTGGGAAAATTATGTTCCTTACATACTCTTATTTCTTGGCCTCTCCTTTCACTACTCTTCTGTTTCTTTAAAAGTACTGTGTTTACTCCTAGGATACACGTAATGCTTCTTAGATATTTCATGTTTGAAATGTGCTTCTTGAAGAACCCAGCCCTCCACACACCTTCTATACTGTCAGCCTTCTCCAAAAATTGCTCAAAAGGAAAAGACAATATTCCCCCAAATCTACTCTAGCTAAATGTGTTACTTTTTCTGTCCATTTGATTCACAGTATAATTTTCCATCTCATCAACTTCTCAATGCTTATTTACACTGTTATTAGTTGTGATCTTGAGATCTGAAGGTTTTAATATAGTTTTCTTTGACTGTCATACACTCCTTCAACTGGAAAATGTTTGCAGACACCCACAACAAAAGATAATGAAAAGGACACTCCCATGAAACCTACCTGTCCGTGCTTTTGCTGAGGGGCCATCCCATGAGGAATTTTGGGATATGTTGAGGCCTTGAGATCAACGTCACGTACTTTGGGACGCACCACATCAGAGGCCAGACTGGAAGAAATAGCCAGAGACTTGGGCCGGGTAGCTATGTTGCCGGTTTCCCCCAGGGTGCCTTGTTCACTTTGTCTGCTTGTACCTTCATCTTCCCCATCAGAATCCACAATAAAAACATATTCTGCTTTGAAGAGGTCACCTTTCTGCATTCCTTGTGGTTCGTTCATATCAAATTTCTTTCCTTGTGAGTTCCTTCCACTGACCTCCGAGGGATAAGCCAGTATCCTCTGGTCTCTCTCCTGTTGGCTGTCACAGCTGAAGGTCATATGGCCACTGTACTCACACTGCAACACATGTAGGGAGATAAAAATGCTGACTTGGAGGTAACAAAATGCATCTTTTTGTTAAAATATGCTAAAAAGTTTAAGAGACTCATTGAAAAGTTTTAATTACATCAAAATACCAGGCTTGCCTGAGAGAAATGGCCTGAAACACATGCTTCCTTTTATGAGCTTATCTGTTTGTACTGCCCCAAAGACTTAGAGTTCAGCCTTAATATCAACAAGTAAAGCTTCCTGCTTCCCAGGAAATCATGAGGAAGGGAGAGCGGAAAGAAAACAGAATGGGCAGAGCAAGAAGGGTGATCAGTGAAGATAGTCACAAAGCGGCTGTCATGTGGACAGGACAAGGTTGTTAGCTAGTTATCAAACAACCAGCACATCCTTTACCAATAATGGTGTGTGGGGGTCCTATTAAAAAAATACCAAAATAAATTTCGAAGCTTTTGAAAGGAAAGGTAACCTTGACACAAAGTACATCAGTTATCAGAATAAATAATCCAAGCTAGTTGGAAGGAGCTCATGAGTAGGACTGTTTTTAAGATACAGGGGCTGGAGAGACATGTGAGTGGGTACAGTGACTGCTTTAGGAGTGTGAAGACTTGATTTCCGATCCTTAGCACCCACAAAAGAAAATCGAAGCGGCATACACATGTCTATAACACCGTCACTGCGGCTCAGGGGCGGCATACACATGTCGATGACACCATCACTGCGGCTCAGGGGCGGCATACACATGTCTATAACACCATCACTGCGGCTCAGGGGCGGCATACACATGTCTATAACACCATCACTGCGGCTCAGGGGCGGCATACACATGTCTATAACACCATCACTGTGGCTCAGGGGCGGCATACACATGTCGATAACACCATCACTGCGGCTCAGGGGCTTGCTAAGCAGCCAGCCGGCCACTCTAGCCAAAGCGGTGAGCTCCAGGTTCAGTGAGAGACCCTGTCTCAAAAGATGTGGCAGAAGAGCAACTGAGGAGACACCCAGGGTCCTCTTTGGGCCTAGACTCATGCCAACATTGACAAGATGTACATGCCCATGTATAAAGGAATAGACAAATTTAATATAAAATGGGTTTCCTTTTCAGTACACTATCTCATTTTGAACTGTCATTTTTGAACTGGGACTTCTCAATATTTCAATACATTTTTCTATGAATATTCAGAATGTTTACAAGACCCGAATTGATATAGTTTTATCAAGCTATCAAATTTCTTTTTCTAAAATAACAGCCATGGACAGATGGTGCTTGAAAGACCCAATGCCAATTTCCTTGTTTTAATAACTATTCTATGATTGTTCTTTTTTTAAGCAACTTTTCTATAATGCTTAAATTAGTTCAAAAGAAAAAAGTAAGTCACTAAATCCTAACAAGTTCAACTATGGTGGTCAATTTAACATATGTTAGCATGTATATGTTGCATGTATAAAGACAGAATCAAAAATTGATTAAATACAACTGAACTGAAGAGGTAATTTATAACCCCAGACCATACTGTTTGGCTGCTCCTGATACTGATGCAGTCTAAGTGACATGGGTAAAACTTGTCTGATGTGGATTTCTCCATTCTCTCTTTACTCTAATGTAGAGTCTTTCACAGCATCCACCACTACCTCAGGTTTCACCACACACTCTTCCTGTCTCTGCTCTCATTGTCTTCTCAGTAACTAGTGAGTCCTGTGAGCTGTTATTAGCCACTTGGAATGTGTTACTAGCCTGATCCTCTGAGCAAGATACTTGAGGTCATTATTATTTTCTTCATTTATAAGATGAGTTGAGACTATCAACTTTTGAGATGGAGAGATGGATCAGTCGTTAAAGGTTAGGCTTACAAACAAAACAACAAGATAATATTAACTTTCTTAAAGATAATCAATGTGATGATACACTCATACTCATGCACACACATGCACGTGTGCACACACACACACATACACACACGTACAAAAAGAGCGAGAACTTGGAACTATGGAACTGTGTCTGGCTATGGTAAGCTCTTGACACATGACTTATTTAATAAGGTTGAGATAGCAACATGTTTGGGGACACATAATAAGAGACATAAGACTTTATACATTTGTTCAAATATATACATTATACATACATATATATGTGCATACATATGGCAGTCCTGGAGATGCAACCCACGTAGCTCAGGCTAAGCTCATGTTCCACTGTAGAGCTAAACCCTCAGCCCTCAGAAGCATATTTTTAATCATCCTTAGATTTCACGATCATCTTACTTTAAACAGAGGAAATACACATTGATGAAAATTTCCAAGTCATTATTATAGATAATTTTAGACTGTCATTCAAAAATTTTAAAGAAGAAAAGTAATCCTACCCTATTTACTCTTTCTGGACTCTTATCACTTGGTTCCTCGGGAATTTTAACAAGGAATTTGGAAGTGTCAGCCAACTGAATGTGGGTTGGTAGTCTTCTGACAGTGGGGACAAATGTGAAGATCAGAGGTTTGGCTTCAGATTCTCCAGGAGAGACCTATGAGATACGTAAGAAATTAGACTTTCAGCCTTGTCAAGGGTTTATCTTGACTTTATCCTTCACGTTTCATATCTATCTCATTCACTTTGATAAGCTGCCTGCTGTCCTGTATTGATGCCAATAAAATCCACATAAAAATATTCATACTGCATGAGGACCCCCTTTAAAACTCCCATAGCAAGGAAAGCAGTCTGTCCTGGGGGGGCGGGGGAGCAGCACAAAGCAGCAACCTGGAAAGCTATTCATCAGACAATAGCTAAGTCCCTACTGTGTGCAGAGAGGTCATTCCAAACACACAACCTGGTCTGCTTCAAATGTGTCATCTATCCATTTAGCCTTAAGGTAATAGGCTTGGATTATGGACTTATGACCAACAAACATGCAAGAAAATTCCAATATGCATATTCATGCTAAAGTGTGGACTTAAGGTGAAAGATGTCTATCAGAACATCAGCTCCTGCACTAAAGGATGTGCCTTCCTATTCATTTATACTTAATTTACTTAAAAGTAATTTCATTAAGTGCTTGCTTTGTGACCCCGGGAGGAAAAGCAGTAATAGTGAATAGGAAACAGTCAGCAGACTACTCACAAACAGAAACGGATATGCACACGGTGCTAAAGGACCTGTGTTTCCAGATCCCTGAATCTCACACCTATCCCCACACCTCATACCCCGCCCCCAAACACACATATCTGTTCTCCTCCATGCTCCTCAGTTCTACTGTGATGTTGCTGTTACAGTTGGGACTCACCTGGGTACACTGCCTTATTCTTGCTTATTCAACAAAGTCTAATCAACTTCAGGGACTAGCAATTTAACAATGAACAAAAATACCTACTGCCATGAATTTAACCAGCGGAGGGAGGAGAGCAGTAATAAATAAATGTGCAAAATATATAGTATTTCCCTGAGTGCTATGAAGATTTCTTATCAGGCTTCATAGAAGCCCATGAAGAAGAAAATAGTGGGTCAAACTTGGTTTCATACTGATAGTGATAATGATAGGAAGTATTAAATTCTAGAGTTGTTTTTTTAGGAAAATATATAATTGGCAGTGAAAGATGAGAGAAAGGCAAGATTTAAAAGACTATAAAATGTTTTATCTGAATAACTACAAGAAATAATAATCCTTTCACTAAAATAAGGAACCAAATAGGTCTAAGTAGTTTGAAGATAGAGTTCAAAACCAAAGGGATGCCTCAATGGTCAAGAGAACATACTGCTCTTGCGGAGAGGATCTGAGTTCGGATTCGCAGTTCACAACCACCTGGAACTCCAAGTCCAAGGGAATCAACACCCTCATCTAGACTCCGAGGCACCAATGCTCACACTTGCACAGACCACACAGGCATATAGACATGCAGACATCTTTTCTTTAAAAAAAAATTTCAGGATTTGGTGAAAAGATTAAAAAAATGCTTAAGAATGCCTGGAAAGAGCCACTCAGTCATAACTTGGAGAGGCTGGCAATCTAACCATCCTAAAGGAAAACCAGGCCTACCTTGCCTTCTGTGAAACCACTGTTTGTGTGAACTGGATGTTCTCATTTTCAGTAGAAGGCCAGGTGTCATATGAATTCCTGCCATGCACCAATTCTGACACTTGGTTTTCAACACATGTGGGTTAAAAGGAAACTACCTAAGCATTTGAACCTTCAGTATTAACTGAGGATGTGCTCTATTCTGATCATTTTTAAACTCCATATTTTACTCTAAAAAAGAAGTGTTCCCACAAAAATAATAGTATAGAAATTCTGGATGACTATGAAGTCTGGACCTTGACCTTGAGAAGATGATCTGAGAGCCACAGTGACAGTGGATGGCTTCATACTCCAATCACCAGTAAAAAGGTCTTTATTCTTTCTTTTCTCCTTCCTTCCTTCATTCCTTTCTTTTTTTGAGAGAGAAAGTTGATGAAGTTATGTGGGTTGGAAGGGGAATTGTCTGGTAGGATTTGGGGAGGGGAAATAATATGAACAAAATATAAACTAAAACTTAATATTTGCCATTAACCCTTAAGATAGCCAGGCAGAGTTCACAAGCAGTAGCTCATCATCAGAAAGTAGTAAGTCACTTTTTTTCCTTAGTGGGAATAAAGGTTAGACCTCTTATAAGGCTAGGAAAAGCCATTAGGCTGATCAACAACACATAATGCTCCAGACTTTCTAGATTATTCTAGGGAGGGTTAGTTACATATCTGATCTTGTCATCGACCTTCTGAGATGGAGAGTGGTTGGAAAAGGGATATCCCTGAGGATATCCAGAGGTTGCACTTTGTTATCAAATTGATAGGATTTTGAAATCTTTTAGGAGACACACCGCTGGTGTGTCTATGAAAGTGCCTCCAGAAAGGTTTGACTGATAGGGAAGGATGACCTGAGTGGGCAGCAGCAGCCAGTGGACTGGGGTTCCAAACAGAAGGAAATATAAAGAAGCCAGATCAACAGTAGCATCCATCTCTTTCTGCTTCCTGAATGAGGGTACAGTTTAACAGGCATTCCGGCTGCTGTGCCTTTGAGAGCATGTTGAGCTACACATTCAAACCACAAGCCAGAATAAACCCTTCCTCTCTTGCTTTTTGTCGAGTATTTGGCTACAACAATGGGGGGAAAGTAGCTATAGTAATTCAAATAATCATCCTATCTTCCCATTTGGACAAAATGGTAATTTGATAGGAATCAAGAAAGGAGTGGCCGTATGTCCAGGTGCTTAGACCTGCCCTCATTTTCCTATGAAATGTGTTGGTCTACCTGAAGTCTATCCAAAAGAAAATAAATAGTTCTCTATGAAAGACTTCAGTGTAAATACCCCAGGGTTACAAACCCATAGATAATTAATGAACAGCAAGTATCCATACCTTCTAAAGCATGTACGGTGATCAAAACTTACTTCTCCAAATGCCTTACACAACTGTCCAGTTCAATTTGTCTTATCTCTAAATTTAAAAAAATCTACAAGTGATACTTCACAGCCTATAGACTTTTTAAAAGTTGGAAACTATAATTTTAGTAAATAAAACAAGAACCAATATAAAGAGGAGCCAGTGCAAGAATGAACAGGATGGCTCTTACCACAGTACCACAGAAAATTTCTAAACGTGACTACATGATGAAGAAGGAGGTTGCCTTCAATTTTATCGTTACTTTCTCCCCACGGGAACCTCTGAACCCTACGTAAAATGTTTTCACCAATGTAGGAAAACAATTCCACTTCCTTATTTTAGTTAAAAAATATATGATGTTTCAAATACATATATAGAAAGAGATATATACTTATATATATGATATATACCTATATCTATATTATTATATATGATTTTATATGGTTTTATATATATATATATGTATATGATTAAAAGCTTCTCTCCCTGGGTTACTACTGAACAGAACTAAATTCAGGGATTAATTTCTGTCCCTATACACATTCCCAGATCAGGAAGGGGCAACCCTTTGTTATTTACTTTCAAGGAAGCAGAGCAAAATTAGCACAGGCCCCCTTTCATCATCTTTATCTATCACCTGTATCTTACCAGAAATCTAAGGTTTACTTGAAAAGACACTGCTGATTCCCTTGTGCGGTTGAGAAAAAGCCATTTACCATTTACTGCATACTGTGTGGCAGATCCAACGGAGCCCCAAAATGAATCGCTATGGTGACGAAAAATCATTTTCCAACAAAGCAGAAGCAGATGCGAGCTAATGGCATTCACTTCTTAATTGCCAATTAACACTTTCAGCTGCCAATGCCAGTTAAACATCTTATCACTGGGAAACTATTTTAATGACAGAAACAAGAACTAAACGGATTAAAATAGTCTCCTAAATTTGGCTTGAAATACCCCAAATCTGTAAGACTGACCCCTTCTCACCACACAGGCTAGTAATGTGAGAAACTGCCTTACAGGCTGCATGCTCCTTTGCTCAGCTTCGGGCTGTGCGCTTTTGTTTCTCCTATTTCCCTAAAAGTTCTCTCCCGTTCCCAGCCCCATATTGACACCCGCAAGCACAGAGGGCCACTAGCCTCTTACTAAGAAAAGGCGTCGCGAGCATTCTAGCCCTACGCCAAGCGCATCCTTAGCATCCAATGAACAGTTTTGTCTTCATCGGTTGCCCGTTTCTCTAACTGTAGGTAACATCTCATTTCGATACACAGACAAATTGATCAGCACCCGGGTAGCTTACCCTCACACCCTCTGGCATATACCAGGAACACGGTGCCTTTAAAAGTTACTGAAAGCATTAAGCAAAGACTTCCTTTTACCTTGGGTGAGGTCTCAATGCTCCCCGCTAAGATGCAGGAGGTCATTTGGAAGTAATTGTTCCCGCAGTCACTCAGAAGCCCCTGTACTGGAAGCATTGATTCATCACATAAGGGAGTGAGCGAACCAACGACTGAGGTGGGAAGAGAGCCTGTTACTAAAACAACACAGGCACACGCACGCGCGCATACACACACACACACACACACACACACACACACACACACACACACACACACTTGCATGCACCCACACGAATATGCACACATACATATGAACCCACATGCATATGCACACATGCACGCACGCGTGCGTGCACACACACACACACACACACACACACACAGGTTGGGGGGCGGAAACTAAAAGGAGAAGCACATTCTTCGCTGCGTTGGATATTTTTCATCTCCAAAGGTTTGTTTTGACAATTTTTACATTTGGAACTTCACAAGAGGTCACACTGACTGCTAAAATGGGATCAGTGGAAGTGAAAAATTGCCACCTATATATGTGCTTGCCCTCTTTTCCTCTCATGCATGCGGTCCAATTATGTATTCTGTGAAAGGAAGGGAGAATCCAGATTGTACAGCAATGAGAAGCTGATTGAAAGGCCCTGGCATCTGCCAGTCTCGGTGATCAGTTGGCCACACTTGCAGAGAACATTCAGAGGCACAAACACACGCAAACACAGTGTCTAAATAAAGAACTGGAAACCACAGTGATCATTTTGGGGAAGTCAATCATTTCAATGACGAGTCCTTGGTGTGTGATCAGCAGTCAATGATACAGGAGCATCCAAGTGACTCAATTTTTGCTGTTAAACAAAAATAGTTCTAAAATAGAACTTGTTACCCTATAGTTTATAGTTTTCAGAAAAAAATTCCCTTCCAGTTTCTGGAAGACAGTGGCTGTCCTGATTACCAATAAACAAGTCACAAATGTTTCTCATGAGATTGGCTGTAGTCATCAGCTTTGAATATTTCTATTTTCTAAGCATTGATTTTTTTCTACAAATCTTTACTATCTATATTTCTGCATAGGCAGTGAAAGATGCGGTGTGGAAGGTGCTGAGTATATACTGAATGCTATGCGAAGGAATGAAGGTTTTATTTCATGTACAGTTACAGCATTTAACACTTTCAACATTGTCAAAAGCCTGAATTTATGAAAATCATGAGTACAATAATTATTCAAAGTGATTTTATTAAGAAGCGGGAAAGCTATTGTAAACAACATTCGTACATCTTGACCTAGAAATGGGCTAAATTTCTGAATGTAAGTGCTGTTGCATCACTAGAAACATATATCTTCTGACATTTACACTTATGGATACACAAGAGGTAACGTGTATGTGATGCCAAAAACCTTTCATTCTCTCTGAGAAAATAAATCTGGTATATAAATAACATAGATAGAAAGGGAAGAGAGTTCTGAAAAGGACTCCCATCCTATAGTTCTTGCAGATCACTGCACACCACACCATCTGGGGCACATTTCAAACTGCAGCTTCTGTTTGAGGGGTTCTGCAACAGAGTCTCCGCACCTGCATTTTCAACAAGCTTCGTGGTCTGGTTGTGCCCTGTTTCTGGTGTGTTGCTGTTCTGCTTCACTTCTCTGTTGCTCTGATAAACACCATGACCAAAAGCAACTTGGGGAGGAAAAGGTTTATTTGGCTCACAGATCCTGATTGCAGTCCACCACTGAGGGAACTCAGGACAGTCACCATGGGGGAACATTGCCTACTGGCTTGCTTCCAGGCTCCCATACCACGAACTCTCTTATACCTCCTAGGACCACCTGTCCAGGGGTGGCACTGCTCATAGTGGACTGGACCCTGTGATATCAATACACAATCAAGAAAATGCCACACAGACTTCACTACAGGACAATATAATGGAAGCATTTCCCCAATTGAAGTTGATTCTTCTCAGGCGATTCTAGTTTGTGTCAAATTGACAGAAACTAACCAGCACGGAGGCCTTCTACTGAGTTCAAAGTTCACAAGGTCACAGATACTTGCAGTGAATTAATTGCAATAATTTGGCTATACCAGGAATGGGGAAATGGTGTCCTGCTGGCTTTAGGAGAACTTATTTAGCGGGTAGAAGAGCTTTAAGGAAGCCCTTGTTGGAGCAGCAAGAGGAGAGAGTGGCAGGAACAGTCACAAAACATGGGACACAAGTCAGAACATTGGCCAGAGGACCTCAGAGAAGTTCTGAACTGCTCACATGTGGAATGTGGAGAAGTACAGCATTGTGCCACAGAGGGTTATAGTTAGATTAAGCTTGGGGAGCCCACAGCTCTGTGTCAGGCAATACTCCATGCGTGTGACTCCTCGCGGCATTATGGTTTTTTTAACCTTATAAATAACATGAGTGAGAATAAAGGCTCATACATGTGACGATATATTGTGTCCTCCAATATACTGTGTACCCTAATAAAACTTATTTGGGGTCAGAGATCAGAACAGCCACTAAATTAGATGTAGAGGCCAGACAGTGATGGCACACACCCTTAATCCCAACACTCCAGAGGCAGAGATCCATCGGGATCTCTGTGAGTTCAAGGCCACACTGGAAACAGCCTGACATGGTGGCACACACCTTTAATCCCAGCACTTGAGATCTTATGTCTTTGCTTGGGAAAGACACAAAGCTTTAATCCCAGGACTTGAGATCTCATGTCTTGCTTGGGAAAGACACATGCCTTTAATCCCAGGAAGTGATGGCAGAAACAGAAAGGTATATAAGGTGTGAGGACCAGGAACTAGAGGCTTTTAAGCTTTTAGGTTTTAGAACAGCAGTTCAGTGGAGATACTTTTGGAATTCACCCCAATATCTGGCTCTGGGTTTTTTTTATTATTATTATTAATAAGACCATTTAAGATTTGCCTTACACATAGGACCAGAAAAGCAGGTCAAATCTAGATCACCAAATCAGGTATTTTAACTTTCTGCAGAATGGAATAAGGATGAAGAGCTGCATATATATACTTTTATGTAATGAACAAAACCTCAAAGAGTGCCTACCACTGAGTTGTAGACACACTCATCTCTGAATTCTAGTCTGTGGATCCTGGGCCAGTGAGGTCTAGTCTTTACTCAATGGTTCCATTTATTCTAAGTAAATTTGACAATTCCAGTGCTCTTGTTTTATATGTCACTCTGCTCTTCTCACTATGGTCTTACCTTGCTCCCATTCTCTTCCCCAAGCATAAAACAAGGCAGGCCATTAGACACAAATTTGGAAAAGGAAATGTTTTAGCCTCTGTCTTTAGCTCTGTCCAAAGCCTTCCTTGGAGCACTTGGTAACATGAGAACATTCAACCTGTGAATTTGCTATTTTCATGTATCTTTCAGCAACTTTTCTCAAATAATTTTCTTTTATTGTTTTATTAAAAAATAATTCATGCTGTTAAGACTATTTCAGCGCCAGAAGTCACAATTTTTACTTAAAATAAAAACTTAAAAGCCATGCATTTCAGCAACATTTGTCAGCCATCTGGTTAGTTACACATATAGCTCCAAAGAGTACGTGAGTTTAGAATAATTTCTATAGAAACCATTTTCACTTGGCCAGAAAATGGGGGCCCCTGATCAAAGGGGGAAAAAAAACCTCTAGATCCTAATGTTATCATTTACTTGAGGGGAGGAGCATGGTAGAGTGCCACCTACAATTATAGCTGCTTTTCTTCTGGTCAAGAAGAACCATTTAGGTTCGCTACATGGACCATAAACTTTTTATAAATATAAACTTACAATGATCTCTCTCCCACCAAGGACCAAAACTACTCTGCTAGACAATCTTTCTCCAAAAGAAAGTGTGGTTTATTAATGTTCACAACAGACACCTCCAATTCTAAACTCTCTTTATCATCCGGCACCGCTTATGGTGGAAACAGATATCCTTTACCTTTCTTTTTTTTTAATTTTATTTTTCTTTATTAAGAAATTTTCTACTCATTCATGTTATCCACAGACCCCCCTCCTCCCTCCTCCCACCCCCCCAGCCCTCTTTCCCAAGCTACCCGGCATCCCCATATCCCCCAAATCGAGGTCTCCCATGGGGAGTCAGCATGGTTTCAGTGCAGAATTCTACCTTTCTTACTATATAAATATTGCTGCAGTTCTTCTGAGATGAAAGATTCGTAAGATACTACTTTTAAAATAAATAATATGGAATTAATTATGTCTCTTCCTGATATAAGAATCGAGTTGGAAAAAAATAATAGATGAGCCCACTGAAAGTTGGCCAAGACACTTATGACTGAAGAGATTTCACCTGCAAAGGCCATTCTGACATCCATTTGTCTATTCTTGGGCTCTGTGCTTGATCACATGCACACAGTAGCACTCCATTCACTTACCTCCTTAAACATCTGGTGAATGGTATGCACTCTTCTACACACTGGGAGACACACACCCTACTGCCAACCAGGTGCATCATCTTAAGAAGGAAATGCCTTCACAAGTGACATCACAAACAAGGGCTATAGTCTCAGGAAGAAGCTAGAGTTTTCCTGCCTGGCCCACCGTCAGGATAAATCTCTGCCACCCGCCAGTCCCACAACCACTCAGACCCGACCAAGTAAACACAGAGACTTACATTGGTTTCAAACTGTATGGCCATGGCAGGCTTCTTGCTAACTGTTCTTACAGCTTAAATTAATCCATTTCTATTAATCTATACCTTGCCACATGGCTCGTGGCTTACCGGCATCTTTACATGCTGTTTGTCATCATGGCGGCTGGCAGTGTCTCTCTGACTCAGCCTTCCACTTCCCAGCTCTATTCTCCTCCTTGTTCCGCCTATACTTCCTGCCTGGCCACGGGCCAATCAGTGATTTATTTATTGACCAATCAGCAACACATTTGACATACAGACCATCCCACAGCACTATAGTCTCAGGAAGAAGATGCTTTCACACATGACATCAAGATGAGTAAAGGAAAGGAGAGAAAAGAGTGAGGTGCTGAATTGAGGCCACACGTGAAATTGGTCTCAGATCGCAAGGTGAAAAATCACTCTTGGTTTTTGCATTCCCTGGTCCTGTTTCTGGACATCAACATTAGGACACAGTTATTCTGTCTCCATCCTGGATGATTTTACTCCTCTAATGATGAGAAATACCAAGAGTGTGGATTATTTTCTTCTAGGGTGACAGTTGATAATAATGATCCAAATCAGGATTACCCCAATATACAGGTACACGATGTTTCAAGCAAAGTCCAATGTCATCTCAACAGCCTGGGAGAACTCACCAACACACAATTTTGACTTTGTACAGATTGAGCAATTAGGTTGTGTCTGCATTCGTCATTACTGCTATGGTTTCTTGT